ACATATTAAAAATGTATTAGCATATGTAGAAATTAACATGCCATAAAGTGTTCACTGGTAGTTCATGATATTTAAGTTAACAAATTGAATTTTATTGTAAAAAGTGTAACAATTAGATTTCTTAAGGTATAATTCGGAGATATTCACAAATGTACCACAGCATATAAAAGAACTATTACACATATTAGCGATGGTACTTTAATATAGTAGAGAAACAATACTTTTTATGAAAGCATGATGACATCTGTAATATTTTACAGATTTAAAAAATGTAATAAAAAAAGGACACTGAATTTTGACAGTCGTCAAAGTCAACATAAAATGTTATTCAAAACTCATTTTCACTGTATTACAGTTACATTACGGTATGATCATATTTCTGAGTAAAACATTTATCTGAGATATTCCAAGAGTCAAAAATGTAGGGTGGGTATTTGGAAAAAGATTGAATTGTGAAAAGTACATGTTGCATACTAGAATGTGCATTTTCAGTCAATTGTGGAGGACTTCTATCTAAAAACACTCCCCTTTGAGGAGGCTTTTTGACTAGTAGGCTAAAGGTCAATGATGAATCATGTGCAATAAGACCAGGAATGTGTATTAGGAATTAAACTAGCGCCGTTTTAATTTCATTTTGACTTGAAAGAAGTGACTCACGGAATCTGGATCTCTCTGGTCCTCAAGAAAAGCGGAGAACTCCACCAGTCTGAGTTTAGATGTGCCGATAGATCGGCCCTGCCAGACGGGCACTGTGGGCGCTGGCGCTGTCGGGGGTTCATAACCTACACACACTGAATATTAGCTCTTCTAAACAAACAGAATGCTACATCTGAATGTGAATTGATCCACACAAAAAAAACATGGCAAGCAGTGACAGACATACTTGAGATTGTAGTTGTGACTGCTGGCTGGATAGGGTACGCTTGCTGAGCAAATGGCTTGATGCTAAAACATAGACAAAGGAGAATTAAGAACAGGAAAACGAGCAGCCTGAAGTTTAGCGGCACTACATACTGAAGAGATTAAGAGGGTTCCACAGCAAAGAAGAAACAAAGCTGCACAAAGTATTCAAACTTGGATCCAACCCATCCCTGTTTCTGGAAAGGCTTCCTCTATCTCTGATCCCTCAGAGGAAAAGAGAGAAAGCTGGAAGGATCGGGAAAAATACAGACATCAAGAAGAGGAGAACGACAATAAAGCAGACAAAACAGAGACAGGTGGAATAAAGAAGATCTGCATTTCCTGAAGGAATTGCCAGTGCTTGCAAGGCAGCAAAAGAACCACATTAAAGTGTTGGGCTATAAATTTAGTTCTGTGAAAATTAAATGCTGAATCAGATCATAGTCATGACACTCAGTAAAAAATATGAATTAGAAATATGATACCCCACCAGCTTTACCTCCTCCTGCTCTCACATTCTCTTAATTTCATTGGATATCGCAACTTTCTTGCTGAAGGACTGTGTGCACACCTGACAACTGGCTGACTACATTTCAAATAAGCTAACTAATTTACAAGTGTGCATACTAGACAGCATTGGCAGCATGCATACATTATAAGTTGTCCATAATCTAGGGCTTTTTGCTGCACACTATTTGTTGTAGAACTAAAGAATTTGTCTTGTAGTGTACACTTGCCTTAAAGCAGTGGTAGATACTTTAAACCAAATCAACCTTTTGATAAAATTTTTAATTTTCATCCTAATAATCCTAATAAATCTGTATGTATGTATATACAGTGGGTACGGAAAGTATTCCTGACAACTGGCTGACTACATTTCAAATAAGCTAACTAATTTACAAGTGTGCATACTAGACAGCATTGGCAGCATGCATACATTATAAGTTGTCCATAATCTAGGTCTTTTTGCTGCACACTATTTGTTGTAGAACTAAAGAATTTGTCTTGTAGTGTACACTTGCCTTAAAGCAGTGGTAGATACTTTAAACCAAATCAACCTTTTGATAAAATTTTAAATTTTCATCCTAATAATCCTAATAAATCTGTATGTATATATATATATATATATATATATATACACACATACACACACACAAATTATATTAAATAAAATATTACACTCATAATTTTGTAATATTAAATTAGACAACATACATAAGCATGAAATTATGAGCATTAAATTTAGAGTCTAACCACCCCACTATGGTAAGAGTAAGCAGTAAATTTACTGCAGAAGAAGAAGGTGAAGAATAAGATGATGAAGAAGGTAAAGACAGTGGAGAAGATGTAGAAGGATGTGCAGAAGATGGTGTAGATGGTGGTGAAGATGCAAAAGGAGGTGCGGAAGAAGGTGAGGAAGATAAAGACGGTGGTGAAGAAGAAGAAGGTGGTGAAGACAGAGTTGCATAAGAAAGGGAGGAAGCTAAAGACTGGTGAAAAAGAAAGTGCAGAAGGTGAAGAAAGTGGTAGAGAAGAACAAAAAGGAGGTGCAGAAGAAGGTGAAGATCGTAGTGGTGAAGAACAAAAGGAAGGAGATGAATGTCTGATGTGCCTTGCAAGCACTGTAGCAAGAGGAAAAGCTTTAGTGGGCCAATGGGAGCAGAACTTCTAGTAGAGATACTCACTCTTGTGATGATCCAGGCTGGCCCGTGGATATCATGCCCTGCCAAAACTAGAGAATTAGATAAATAAATAGACATCAAAACACAGCCTATCCACAGGCACACACACGTCTGAGCACTCTTGATACATCAGTTATCACATGTTCATTGAAAAATGAGGTGGACTATGTGCCATGCAGTCCAGTCATCTTGAGTGTGGCATTAGTGGGCTTATCTGATGAAGGCAGGTGATGTGGGCACGGCTCTGAGGGTGTGTAATGGGATTGGAGCTGACGCAGGCGTGTGGCTGAAGTAAGTGTACTGATAGGTGGGTGCCAGAGGGCGGTCTTACCCCTGCTGCCTGTATATATATATATATATATATACACACACATACACACACACAAATTATATTAAATAAAATATAAATAAAATATTACACTCATAATTTTGTAATATTAAATTAGACAACACACATAAGCATGAAATTATGAGCATTAAATTTAGAGTCTAACCACCCCACTATGGTAAGAGTAAGCAGTAAATTTACTGCAGAAGAAGAAGGTGAAGAATAAGATGATGAAGAAGGTAAAGACAGTGGAGAAGATGTAGAAGGATGTGTAGAAGATGGTGTAGATGGTGGTGAAGACGGTGCAGAAGATGCAAAAGGAGGTGCGGAAGAAGGTGAGGAAGATAAAGACGGTGGTGAAGAAGAAGAAGGTGGTGAAGACAGAGTTGCATAAGAAAGGGAGGAAGCTAAAGACTGGTGAAAAAGAAAGTGCAGAAGGTGAAGAAAGTGGTAGAGAAGAACAAAAAGGAGGTGCAGAAGAAGGTGAAGATCGTAGTGGTGAAGAACAAAAGGAAGGAGGTGCAGAAGAAGGTGGTGAAGAAGAACGTGAAGAAGATGCAGAAGAAGAAGGTGGTGGAAAAGAGGGTGAATACAATGATGAAGGTGCAGAAGAAGAGGAAGAAGAATGTCTGATGTGCCTTGCAAGCACTGTAGCAAGAGGAAAAGCTTTAGTGGGCCAATGGGAGCAGAACTTCTAGTAGAGATACTCACTCTTGTGATGATCCAGGCTGGCCCGTGGATATCATGCCCTGCCAAAACTAGAGAATTAGATAAATAAATAGACATCAAAACACAGCCTATCCACAGGCACACACACGTCTGTGCACTCTTGATACATCAGTTATCACATGTTCATTGAAAAATGAGGTGGACTATGTGCCATGCAGTCCAGTCATCTTGAGTGTGGCATTAGTGGGCTTATCTGATGAAGGCAGGTGATGTGGGCACGGCTCTGAGGGTGTGTAATGGGATTGGAGCTGACGCAGGCGTGTGGCTGAAGTAAGTTTACTGATAGGTGGGTGCCAGAGGGCGGTCTTACCCCTGCTGCTCCGGGGAAGGCAGGACGCGGGATGCCCGGAAGACCCAGCTTGTTGTGGATGGCAGTGGCAGAGACGATCTGGGCCGAGGACATGGAGGCCATACTCTGAAGAGCTTTGTCCTTCACGCTCTGATCCTTCAATAGCATTTAGAAAAGAAATTAGGATCCAGAAAGGGTACAGACATAGTGAGCTAGGAGTTATACAGTTTCTTTTAACAACACGGTTCCGGATACACGTTTGTACCACGGTTTTATCTCAATGCCAGAAGTCTGACACCGCTAGTGTAAATGCTTCTTGAACTGTTCTCTAATTTATAACAATAATGCATTTATTTGACCAAAATACAGCAAAATTAGTAATATTATTAGAATTTGTCCATTTTCAGTTTTTAGCAGCCATTACTCTAGTCTTCAGAGTCGCATGATGCTTCAGGAATCATTCTAATATGCTGATTGGGTGCTCAAAAAAACATTACAATGAATGCTGAAAACAGATTTAGCTGCTTAATATTTTTGTGGAAACGGTGATACACTACCATTCAAAATGTTGGGGTAAGATACTTACGAAATAACTTAAATAAATAAATAAATAAGCAAGCAAGCAGGCAAACCAATCAATCAATCAATAAACAAACTTTCATTCAGCAAGGACACATTATTTTGATCTCAAGTGATAGTAAATACTTTTACAATGATATATTGGATTTCTGTTTCCAATAAATGCTTTTCATTTGAACCTTTTATTTATATAAGAGTCCTGAAAAAATTATCACAGTTTTCCCAAAAATATTAAGCAGCAAAAATGGTTTTCAAAATGTAGAATAATAAGAACCCTCAGCTGGTTTTCTATTATCGAACCATTACCAACTGAGAATCAATAACAACTTATAGTAATTGAGCAGAAAATCAGCATATTAGAATTACTTCTGAATAATAATGTGACACTGAAGACTGGAGTAATGACTAGTGAAAATTCAGCCTTGCCATCACAGGGAAAAATTACATTTAAAAAAAAAAAATGTTAAACAATATTCCAAGCTTCTGAATGGTAGTGAAAGTGCAAATTATCTCCTCATCAGCTGGAGTTCAAGCTGAACTGAAAAATAAAATGTTAGATTTATTTCAATTTTTCACTTAAATTGTTAGGTTAATTATGTAAACGGGCTATTACAATTGTGCAGTAATTTAAAAAAATGCTAAAATAGAACATTTATGGACATCAATACAATAATTTACAGTGTGATAACAGAAGTAAACTCCATAATAGGCTATCCTGCAATAATGACACTGATTTAGAGGATTAAATTAATAATCATCACAAACATGGTAAAAAAAAATCCTATATCACTGAACTGAAACTGACTACAGAACCGTGATACAGACCGAACCGTGAGACATTTGAAACCATCACCCCCCTGCAGTGAACACAGGACAATAAAGCAGCCCACACCCTCACACACAAAGATCCACAGAGAGAAAGCATGTTAAAAGATTCTTCAGAGTTATAAAGCCGCTGATCTTAAGAGGAATGTGCTAGCATTAAAGATGAAAAGTCTGAAAGGAGCGAAAGCCTCTAGCACAGAGCACGGGAGATGATAATGTTTAATATCAAGCTCAGAGCTGAAAGAGAACTAAATCCAATGAGAAGTGACATTGATGTTATATATTATCCCGCAGCTCCTACATGTCTAATAAAATGCATTGTGTCTGTCGGGAACAAGGGTTAAGTAATACTAACTTTCCTTTTCTGCAGAGTGTAATGTTCTCATTCTAAAAGCTCCTATCAAGGTCATCAAACCGAGCCGAAACAGTACAGATGAATGCGTCAAAGAAAAGGGCCTGAAAGACACGATTTCTCCTTTACACATCCTCCTTGTTATTTTCACAAGAAGGCTAAAGACGATTTCTCAATATAGACTTTTAATAACACAAGAAATGTCTGTGCATAGATGGATTTCTAAAACTGGTAATTTAATTAATCGAGCTAAAGTGTGTAAGCCTGAACGCTACAAAGGCAAACATTCCCCATGCAGATTGTATAGCGTGCACGACCGTAGCAGGATGGAAGTCCTGCTTCTAAACACGTGAAACAGCCAGTGAATGGAGCACAACTTCATTGAAAAGACAGTGAAAAGCGGGCATGGGTTGAGGATAAACATGCTGGGAGCAGCGGCTCACGTATGGCTTAGAGAAAGGCAGAGAGGCTCAGAGCTCAAGCAGGTGTTTAGCAGCTGCTATACTGCGACGGCGACACGTCGATGCACGGTCAAGAGCAAGAACTTGTACTTACCATGCTTGTCACCTAAACGCAAACAAACAAGGTTGTATTGTCAATGTTCAATTTGCACTTTTTGGCAAGTTTAATTCAAACGATCTACATGAATGCAAAGAGATTTGTCCACACATTTATACATCTGCTTTACAGATTTATTCCTGCTGAAAAGACCAGTATATGTTGTGTTTTGGATGCTGGTGTCAGAACCAGGCTAACTTTTAACTAGTTGCAGTCACAGATTTCACCAGAAAGACCATGCTGGAAAATCCTCACCAGCTCACACAGTGTTCACACCAGCTGCGTGTGACATGTCACGACACGCCAAAACTAGATTGCGTCTATTAAAATCAATGGCGTGGTCTACAGTCTACACCTGATGTGGCGTGACGCAATTCAGTTGACAGATGTTGCATTTCTAATTTTGACAAGGTGCACACCTAAAATAGTCTTTTTATTTTCCAATTCCATCTAAAATGAAATTATTTTATTTACAAATATCATGAATTGATGGCTAGGCCTATTAAACATCAATTATATATTTAAATAAAAACTTTTGGCTTGTGACCACTTGTATACGCAGTTGTAACATTATGAATAAAATTGTTTCATTGTCTCCATACGCACATTTTTTTAATTTATTTATTTATTTTCTTTCATTTGAGTAGGTAAAAAAAACTAATAAACCAGTTTTATTTTAATTTTATACAAAAGTCTCAAGCTGGGGTGTGTCTCTCAAACGCATCAGAAGCCAACTATGGTCGCATCTTTTATCATTACTAACGAAGTTTCCAACAAACATTTGGAACTATAGCTCTCAACTTTGTGTTTTGAAGCATAGATTCTTGTTAGTATGATGTGAATTTACACAGACAATTCTCTTGAGCAAAAGGACATGCTAACATGCAGTACATTCTGTACATTTTACTCCATTTTAATTATATATACACATTTCAGTTTATATATTTTTTGCATGTCAACAATCAGCACTGTTTATGTGCATAAATTAATATGGGAACCCCAGGGTATGACATAAGAGGGACCCTGCAATGAATCAAACATCAAATAAAGCAAAACTACAGGGATTAATATTGAAGTATCTTCAGATGCCATGTTCTTTACACCAGCATCTTGGAGAAATTACATTGTGGTGATAGCTGATGACTTAATGAACCACATGTATACGGGAATAAAGGATACTCCATTTACATACTGCATGTTAACATTATTTAAAAAATGAATTGCTTTCTTTTTTATACCAATAACCGATATACTCCGCCATTAATTGTGAATCGATTAATTAGCAGAAGGCAACCATGTTACTATACAGTTTCAGGAAACGGTCATGACTAGCTAGTTAAAGGCAGGGTAGGAGATTTGGTTCAAAAATATTTTTGTTGTGCTGGTTTAAAAGTCTTTTCACATCCCAATAGCAATTACTAAGTTAAGTGGTCTGTGGAAGGCGTAAAACCATAAAATGTTAGGTCCGAGGGCTTCGACAGGCTGCATTACCTGCCTGTCAACGTATGTATTTGCATACCTCCGTTAGGGCTGGGTTTTGACACAAATTTCACGATTCGATTCGATTCTCATTCACAAGCTTGCGATTTGATTTGATTACCAATTCGATTCAATAACGATTATTTTGGATATATATCAGGTACAGTACATGCCAAATTTTCAAGGAAAAAAAATCTCTCAACAAATGCTGTAAAATATACATGAGAGTCAGTTGGTACTACATTACTATAATAATGAAGATTAAAATTGATTGATTTGTAAAAAAAATAACACAATGAAGTTTTTAAAATAATAAAGTTACAATTACATAATAATATTTATACTTCAATTTGTTTTTTTTTTAAATATAAACAATGGTGGCTGTCATAAAAACTTGATGGATTTATTCAAACATAAATTATACATTGAAGAACAGTAAACATTTATAATGAATATGTTATATGGTGCATATATTTAGCAAAATGCCCCTCTCTGCAGTTTATTTTTCTATCTGACTAATGAGTTTATGGTCACCGAATATGTTTTTCTGAGGTAAATGTGACGTTACGTGACATTGTTTACAAGCCGTTATATTGACGCCTTTGCTCGGCTGAAACACTGATAGAGCGATTACATGAGACAGGATACGGCACTCTTTCTTTTAACTTACCTTCGGATGTTTAGTCATGTTTATTTTGTACTGAAACTGGTATTAATGTGGAG